AGAGAAACCATAAAAACACAATACGAATCAACAACGAATCCACAAGTACAAACTACAAACATAACCATGCTTTGTCCACCCAAATTAACCTTGAACCACGAATTCGCCGCGCATTTTTTGGTAATAAAATAATAATTTAATACAAACTGCCTTTATTTTATACAAAACACAATACCTAATTTAAACAAGTTTGAAAGATACATAGGGTATAAGTAGGTACTTAGGGAACATATTCAAATTTTGAAAATATTGTACCATTGTACCATTTCATTTCTGCTCTTGCTCCTACATCATCAATACCCATGTTTGGTGGATTGGGTATCCTTTTCATTTCTATTAAATAATTTAAATTATCTCCATCCAGCTTTACAGGGGGTACCTCCTCCCTCCTCCTTATTTATAATTGCAAGACTATGGAGAACAGCTGTGGCTACTATGGTTGATAACGATGTTTGTAGCTTTAATCTTAACCCATAAGCCATTGCGGGAAATCATCATCAAATAAGTCCATATTTAAACACAGATTTAAAACTCGAAGAAGAAACAAAATAATATGGGTATAAATATCTCGATAAATATAATTTTTATGAAATCACTACGACAAATAATTGACATTTGCATTTGACAAAAAAAAAAAAAAAAATATTTCTACCTAAGAACGTGTTAAGGTCCCAACAGTGGTGCCTTAAAGTTAGGAATTCCTAAACCCATCTTAGGTGAGTTTTCTGACTGGTGCAATCGAATTTTCCTTGCTTAACTTTCAGAATAACTTAGGAATGACTTAAGACGTTCTAAAACGAACTGTGCAATCCACCAATAATGCTGGCAGCAGCACAGTTTATACCGTACCGATACAGTTGTACAACTCTCCATATTTTTTGAGGCCAAATTCTCCAACCAATAGGAGCATTTTGTCCCATATCTTGCGCATGCGCTCAATGAGTGAACAAATCTCCCAAATTGAAAAAGTAGTTCGGCATATACATGTCTCTTTCCAATCCTGAACGCAAAAAAGAGATAGAGATAGCTTGGGTGAGAACCCGCGAGAAATAACTGTTAAACGAGACACGCAACAGGATTGTATTACAAAAAAAGAAGAGAAGTTTTTTGACAGAAATTATTCAGGAAATTGAAAAGTAACCGGAAAATTCATCAATTTGAAATTCGGCTTAAGAGTGTCTTGCTTTCCGTGTTATTCGCGATTTTTGTGTACTTGACTGTTTTATCGTTTATATATTGTGTATTATCATGGTTGCTTTCTGTTTTGTCTGTTAAAACAACACTAGAACTAGCCCAGGCTTAGGATATTTTAGTTTCCCGAACGATGAACGACTGTAAGTATTTATATTTACATATTTCATATTAGGTTTACTCTATACATTCACATAATCTTTGTTTATTATTATATGATCCCGTTATATTCTCAATGTTAATCCACAAAAAATCCTAGTCTGACTCTGTCCACGGCCCAGTATTCGTTGTTTCCGATCAATAATGCGCAAGCGCGAAATATGGGGACATAGAATTTGGCTTCAAAAAAATCTATGGTTTGTCAACGGAGTTGAACAACTGTATCGGTACGGTATAAACTGTGGCAGCAGATGGATCCCTTGCTGAATAAAAGAACGCGCCCACTGTGTGCGCATTCCAGTTTTTGGCTATAGTTCATTGGTACTACTAGTAGACTCGTACGTTATTTCTTGCATTAGCCAAAAGAAGTCTCTACCTATTTTCTATTCCGGAGCATGTTCCGTTTCTATCAATTTTACAAACTTATGTTCCATTTTGCTGCACTTTATTTCTTGGGAATTTCAATTATGAAAATTAATATACCTCTGGCTTATAAATCCTACATACACTACAATTTTCGCTCAATTACTAATTAAAGCGAAAATTGCATTGTGATTGTAAAGAAAAACACCAGATCAATTTCAAAATAAGAGTTTGCTCTTTCTCACTTAACTGGCGGGGCATGTCAAAACCAGTGGCGACGCCAGGGGGGGCCAGAGGGGGCCCGGGCCCCCCCTGAAATTTAGCTGGCCCCCCCTGAAAACTTGCTCTCATGCCGGCAACAATGCAATGCAGCATCAGTAGCCTGTGCCGGTTAATTCGATATTCGGTGGGCACAGGTAATCGCGACGGTATTTTCGCTTTCCTGGGATTCCCCCAAGAATCGTAAACTAACAGATGTGGAATTCTGTAACGAATAGAGATATTTTCGCTATTGACGTCCCCTCTCTATTGATTTCGAAAAGAGAGAAGAAGACAGCAAGTGCCATAGCAAAAGGGATAAGGATTTCTATCCGTTACACAATCCCGCCTCAGGATTACTTTTCATGCATCCGTTTTTCTGTCAATTCCATGATCCGGAAGTATTTCTATTGGTCCAATAGGTTGGCGCCAAAATATTGGACCAATAGACCAGATCATCGGATTGACGGAAAAACGGATGCATGAAAAGTAAGTTAGGCGTACCTACGTTCGCCATATCTCGAGTCGGCAGGGCCTGCGAGTGACGTTACCACTATCAGCAGCTTAAAGCTTAGTACTCATAACCGCGAAATTCGCTCTTTTTTGACGTTGCTTCGACGATTTGACGTTTAATTCACGCATAAAACGTCAAATTGTCAATGCAATGTCAAAAAACAGCGAATTTCGCGGTTATGAGTACTAGGCTAAAGTATAGTGGTGCCGTCACCCGCAGGCCTCAATGGGAGGTTTGCGATTCAGGTTCAGCTAATGCATTTTACGCCGAAAGTTGAGGTCTGCGGCTGAAATGGTAGACACTTTCAGCTCAATAGGCAGTCCTATAAGGTCAAGTTTTCTTGGGATTCCCCTAAACATATTAGTGTTGACTTCCCATTTTTTATTCCAAAAAAAAAGCAATAAAGTAAAAACAAGTGCCCCCCCTAAATTTTTCTGGCCCAGTCTGGCCCCCCCTAATGTAACACCCTAGCATCGCCACTGGTCAAAACGATTAACCGTAAATACCTACAAACCAACAAATAGAAAATTCTCGTAACGCGACGTCGAAAAAAAAAAAAACAACGAACTTTAACTATTCAACAGCTGGTTTTATATTGTCCGTCCCAAGAATAATTTTGAACATACCGACTAAAATACTTATCGTTGACCGGAAAAGTTAATTCACGAGCGGAATCGCGAGTTAATTAATTCCGAAAGACGATAATGGCATTTTATCGTCGTGTGTAAAACAATAGTATATTACAATCCGAGACGGGAAATGCTTCATTACTGGTCGAGAGGTTTTATAGTTTATATATAAACTTAACCTCGAGACAGCAATGAAGTTTCCCGTCGAGGGTTGTATACTATTTTATTTTTAACCATAATTTCTTGAAAAAAAAAATATTCGGGGCAAATGAGGTCGGCAAATGAAGAGGAAAATGAGAACGGGAAATATTTCCCTGCTCCATTTTCCGTCCGTGGACGGGAAATGAGGACGGAAAAAATTTCCCGTCCTCACTTCCCGTCCTGGGATAGGTAATGGAGCAGGAAAATGAAAAGACAGAAATGTGACATTTTCAAATTTTTGAAAAGTCAGTAATGACAACATTTCATATAAGGTTAAAAATGAAGTTTTTTTCCATAGCCTAGTTATGGACGCGTGTAGTTTCGGAAAAACTTAGAAATTATTTGAGTCGAAAACTAAATAAAAAAACAAAATGTATGTATCAATTTTTGACAAAATAAACGTCTTTATCTATCCTTGATGTTAAAGTAGCATTTAATCTACCCTTGCGGTTAAAGTACCACTTTATCTACTATTTCCAGTAGATTAAAGGCAACTTTACCAGTAGCTAAGGAAAAAAACAAATTATTTCAGATAAAGATAAACGCAAACGTAGAATTTCATCACAATCGACACAATCTGTTTGTTTATTTATATTTTGATGTTTTGACATTGACACCAATTGATGTCGAGTAGAGCAGTGTTTTTTTGATACTTTTGATAGGATACTTTTGAATAGCTCTTATCACCGCTTTTATCGACCCTCTCATAGCTTTTATCACAGCTCCAACATAATCACGGCCTAAATCGTCCAAAACATTTTTTCGGCCCCCTCTCCGCGGGGCTTTGCCCCCAAAAAAGGGGGCCCACGGGGCTTTTTTCCTACGACCACATACGAAAATGACAAAATTCCCTCGTGTGATTTTCGCACTCGGCTACCGCTTCGCACGAAAAAACACTCGTGTGAAATTTGTCACTTTCTACACTCGTAATGTAATATACTATTTCCTACGACTGACTCTGAAAATGGAGCTTTTCGCACGCTAAGCAAGCTCTGAAAATAGAGTTTTTCGCACAGCTTCCGAAAAAGTTTCTTCCTACGACCACATACGAAAATGACAAAATTCGCACTAGCTGGTTCTTTGGAAAGCGCTAAATATCACACGCGTGCTGAAAGTATCTTTCAATACGCGTACTAAAAGTATTTTCAGTACACGTGTGGAAAATACTGTTGACATTATTTGTAATTGACATCACAATTTACTTTCAATACGTGGATTGAAAGTACTTTCGGCACGTGTCTTGAAAATGAAAAGAAATAAAATAAGAGAAAATTGGTGTTAATCGGTTTCTGGTCGTAGGAAAAATGGTGTACATCACTTATGTGAAAGCGTCTTTCATACACACGGCTATCGCTTCGCGCAAAAAAACACTCGTGTGAAATTTGTCACTTTCTACACTCGTAATGTAATGTACTATTCACACGCTCCTCAGCGTGCAAATTTGGTTGTTCTATTTTGCAGTTGTAGGAAAAGCATTATAAAAAACTCGTTTGAAAACTTTCTTTCGCACTCGCTCGACAAACTGTCTCGCCGTGCGAAAAAAGTCGTTTTCAAAACTTGTTGTTTAAATAACTATTTCCCGCATTGTACGCAAAGGGTTTCTTTGCGTACGTAAAAGTGTGCGCAAAGTAGTCACTTTGCGCACACTCGTAGAAAAAAATATTTTCAATTAAAATAAAACTTACTCGAATCGACTGTCTGGCAGAGACCAAGCTTTTGCTGAGCAATTTTCTAGGCAAATTCATTGAAATGAGCAGTGCTTTAAGTCAAGACAAAATTATCTCTGAAAAGTTTTTTTCGACTATAACAAGAGAGCCGAAGCGTGGTACGTGGCGTTGAAAAAAAAAACGCACCATCACACCATGCCATAGATTAGATTCGACGGGTAACTTTGATTAGTTTGATTTAATAGATTTATCAGTGATGGTTACAGAGAGTACAGTTGTACCAAAAAAAGTACATTGAGGACTTTAAGAGTACAGTGGTACAATCAGATGAAAAAATGTACAATCTATATTCATTCAGGAATTAGATATTCCTTCTTTATAAAATTTCTCATTCAAAAAAATATAAAATAGTAGGTATATTGTTTAACGAGCGTATAATGTATGAGTTGGTGCCATTCTTTGGTCGCCAGTCTACAAAGATGTTGTATACAAGTTTGTAATTTTTCCTTGATTTCTCTGGAACTAATGCTAGAGATGCTACTTTTGCGGCTGCACGAATTTCTGGATGGGTGCATGGAATTTTGTTTTCACTGTCGGAATGCATGAGAAACATGCGTTTAACACAATTTAAGGCCGCGTTAATGGCCGCCATGTATACACTGTGATTGGTTGATTTCTCGAAACTTGTTTTAAGGTCTTTAAAAAAACGGCACATCAGAATTGGCTCAAATTTGGCATAAACATTATTTGATCGATTATCTACAATTCCTTATTTTGGTTTTTCGATATTCAGCCTTTTTTTTTTAATTCAAAAATCATGTTCGCAACTACCAAAACAATTAAATGTGTTGGTGGTTGCATATTTGCATGTTTATCAAGCTTGGATCCGTGAAAAGCATATTTTATTGATAGCCACGAAAAACTATTGCTAAAAAGCTAATTGTAGAGATTGTAGATAATATATCAAATAATGTTTATGTCAAAGGATTTTGGAAATTATTGCGGATTTTTTGAGATGACTTTAAAACGAATTTTGAAGGTGAAAACAGTTCAAGCAATTTCAAGTAGATGGCGCCACGGCAAAAAAAACTACATTGGGAGCATCATAGTTGTATATTTGTCTTTCTCTGTCACTAAGTGTTTCACCGACAAACAGATTTTGTTTTGGACAAATAATAAAATATTGAACCCTATGTGTAGAGTGACGCAGTCGTCATTTTCAAAAACTAAATTTAAACATGGCGGCCATTAACGCGGCGCAACTGAAAACTGCAAAATTACTGTCATATTATTTTGTCAAAATCAAATATTTTAGTTGCCCTAGTAACAAAGTAACAACAATTCAAACAAGCTCGTTTCTATTTTGGAACGCTGTCAATGCTGTCATGTTATGGAATACGTCTAAAAATGTACCTATATTCCACGGGTGTGGAATATGAGATTCATATTTCACAGGTGCGTAATATGAGTAACATTATGTGGTTACTATCACAAGCAAAATACGTCCATTATTGAATAGTCGTCGATAAATTATGTTTTTAATCTACGTCGGTGTCATTATGACACATTTAGCATTGTTATTTGAATGTCATTAGGTCCTTCATAATAGCACTAGTGCATTTAAGAATTCATAAGAACACCCAAATTATGAAATGAAAAATATACAAAAAGAAAGCTAGTTACCAGAAGAACCTTTTCATAGATGCTGTCTCGATATTCGAAGGGACACCTTCGAACTCATAGTCCGGTCTGGTTTGTATTCCCGTGTGCTTTTTCGGTATGCAAGCAAGCGGTTGTTTTTAAAAGGTTTGTAATGCACTAAGGTGTAACTGTTTTCAGTCGGAATGCTACAAAATGTGTCAGTGTCGTGCAGTTGACGTAAGTAGCAATACCTTATTTTCAATTAATATTATATTTTTTATATGGTTGTTTAGTGTCATGATTGCTAAATCTGTCCCTATTCTGTCTTTATTTATGTAGGAACATACTGAAAAAGAGAAAAAAACAACGACAGGATAGATCATAGACTGCGCATGCGCATAATTTATTGTTGAAAAGCACTTATATACAACATTTCAAATGTTTTAAAATATACCGGCTTTCTCTTCCTCTTCGTCATCGCTACTTGCTCCGCGATTTCAGTTATTGATAGATTGACACAAAAAATAAAAAACGCGTAACCAACTAAAAGACGTGCTGGACAAATGCTGTTAGAAGGACCCTGGAGCGGCTGCGACATTCGCCAACGCCTACTGAATATAGACTCACAAATTGGGCATGCAACACACACCGATCGGAGTAGTTGGCGTCGCCGATTGGTGCCAGTAAACTCCGATCGGAGTGGTCGGCAGTCAACGTGTTTCAAACTACTTGTAAAGAAGGCTGAGTTTTTTTTCTGACTATTTCACTAGAGTGTTTTACACTGGCAAAATGTCATAGGAACTGCCGGTTTCCTACTGACAAAACTTCTACCTGTTCCTACCTGGGCAAAACCAACTGATGGTTTTTCAGCGACAAAATTTTGTGTGGTTAAGGTAAAAAACTATTGAATTTGACAAGTGTCACCTAAAGAAAATAAATTTTCCAAATGAAAATTTTGCTTGTTTTTCTCGTGAAATAGTCCAGCCGAATACTAGGTTTTATTCAAGTTTGTTGCTTTTTGGTAATTTCGCTCATGAAATGAAATGTCATTCGCGAAATTGCCAAGCAACAAACTTTCATACCAGCCGAAAATTTTGCCAACAAAATTTTTTCTCTTGTGGTATTATATATGATAAAACAAAACCACACTTAACCAAAGTCCGTCGATTTTAATCTGATACTCGAAAGGAATGTGAGCTGGTGAAATGGTCACCTGACGTCACACCTGTTTTTGCCATATACTTCACCCCCTCGCTCCTCATATGGAAAGTGTCAGATAAAAATCGACGAACAATAAAAATATTTTTTATTTCAAATTCAAAATAAGTCGCCATAATGCCCATAATCGACAACCACAAAGTATGACGTCATAAGAAACAACCGGCTGTTAAAAGCACCATCGGAAATCCAAACAATTAAATTCCTAAAATTGGAAAGGACCCCGCACACATCTTATGGGATTTTGGTGCCCGGTCAAATTTGATGAAATTTTGGTATGTTGTTCTTCTTGAGGTCCTGATCAAATGTGTCCATGGGCACAAATGAATCTTATGATTAGTTTCTGAGATACAGGGTGTTTAAAAAGTTGAATAGTCGATTTAAATTATGTGCTAACCAAGCTATTTTTTGGGGTTTTGCAAAAATGGTTAAGGCGGAACAATACTTTTCCATAAATAAATGCTTCCACACATAATACATTTAAACGATTTTGTATACAGGGTGTATCACACGTTTTTATTTCAATTTTTTTGACTCAATTCGTTTCGGAATAGGTAGGTACTTTTAAAATGATTTAATGCAATAAATAATTTTGAAATATTTTTCTATTTCTATTTATACAAAATTACGAATATTTGAAAGATCGTTGCAGTTTTCCAGCTATATTTAACTTTGCCAAATTCAGGGTGTCTATACTCGAAAGTAGACTGCATATGAAAAACTTTATTATTTGGCATTTCTCACATTATGTTCTTGATGAAATGTTCTGCTTTATAAAAAAAACTTCTGCTTTATTCCAGTTAGCCATGCTGTCAAATATTTCATTCGATTATTTGGTTGCTAGGTGATGATGGCAACAGTCAGAATATTGACGGTTACTGATATTTTGTGCATTCGATCAATTATTTCTTCTTTGTTGAATTATTTATTTTTATATACATATTTTTATTTATTTTTATTAATATATACATATACTAATATATAATTATATTAAAATAAGTGCTCTTAACGGTATTTGAAATGGCATTTCGTCTCAGATTCAATTGTTATGTTTGTGAATCTGTCAATGCTCCTCGACAAGTAATTCCTTTTGTCCAAAATGAGGAGCTTAGAAACACGGCAGTTAAACGGAGGCAAGAACTGCAACTTTTGGACGAGGAACCGAATGATAACTCTCGAATATGCTTCACGTGCTATCAAAGTATTTTAGAAGAGCTTCAAGTTTATGCTGAGGATCCCGATCCAACTGTTTTCAAGGTACTTTTTAACCGCCGTCCTAACTGTATTGTTTGTAATCAAGAGGCTTTCCAGCGTATTTCTTTAAAAGCCAGAGTTGTCTTATTTGTAAGAAAAGACATTTTTATTCCTGATGGTTCCAGAATATATCCCGGTCATTTGACTATTGATCAACTGGTGGTAGCTTCCTTGCAAAATGGCTTCAGGGGTATCACGAGGCCTTATACACTTAAAGGTTCCGAATTAAATGCTTTCATTTCTCAACTTGGAACAACGTAAATGATTTTAACAAGTTTGATGATGAAAGTAATTATACAGATGATGAGATGAAATTTTTTTACCTCATCAACAAAAGAACAGTTCAACGCTGTTTTTGATAGTTGTAATAATGTGGTCATATATAACAGGTCAAAAGTAATAACAAAAAAAGATCTTATATGTTTTTTATGTAAACTTAAACAAGGTTTATCACATAATTTTTTAACTGCTATGTTTTCCTATCCAAGTAGACAAACAACGAGTCTCGTCATTGCAAAAGTTACAAGTTCTCTAGCAACCTTTCTGAATCAAAACTTAGGATATGATCATATGTCACGCGAACGATTCATTAGAGAACATGTGCGACCTCTTTCGCTAAACAACTATATAATCCGGAGCCTCAGGTACCAAAAGCTATTGCTTTTATTGACGGAACGTACTTGAAAATTCAAAAGAGTAGAAACTTTCAGGTTCTTAGGAAATCATTTTTGGTACATAAATCATATCATCTCTTGAAGCCGGCTTTAATTGTTTCCCCAGATGGTTACATAATAGATGTGCATGGGCCATACTTTTCAAATTCTCCTCACAACGATACAAGAATGTTAACCCACGAATATCAAAATGATCTTGGACAACTTCGAAATTATTTTCAAGAGGGAGACATATTTGTACTTGATCGTGGTTACAGAGATGCTCAGGAATTCTTACAAGACATTGGAATTCGAGTTGAAATGCCCGCTCATCTTGGCCGAAGATCTCAGCCAACAACAGCTGAAGCAAATCAGTCTCGGCTCATAACAAAATGCAGATGTATAGGCGAATCCCGAAATGGACATCTGAAATCAATATTCAAAATATTCAGAGACCAAATTCCTAATACTAGTATTCCACACATTCGCGATTACATCAAGATAGCATGTGCTTTAATAAACAAATATCATCCCTCAATTGTTATGGAAGAAGCGACAGAGAATTTGGCCCATGAAATGTTATTGAAGTCACAACAGCGCAACATATTGCAGGAAAGACTGGAAAGAGAAGGATTACTTCGGAGGCATGGAATATGGGAACCTCTTACTGAAGATCAGCTCGATTTTCCAATATTACCCATAGAAGAACTTCAACATCTAACTTTCGGAGTTTTTCAATTGCGTTTAGCCCCATCATACATTCAAGACAATAACCAAAATGATGGGAATCATTGTTTTGAATACGATACGAGATTAAACGATGCTAATTTGTTACGAATAAGAATGAAATCTCGGCACAGGAATTCTGTTAAGTATCAGCTTTTCATCAATTACGACACAGAAAGGAATTTAATATTGGGATATTATTGTTCATGTCGATCTGGTGCCAGAATAGTTGGAATGTGCTGTCACGTTGCTACTGTAGTATGATTTCTAAGCTATGGTCGCCATCAACCGGTTATTAATTTTCCAAGCGGAGATATGTTTAGGAATGTTAGGGATGCTGCAGCAGCAGATGTAAATAATTTGCCAGACATTGTCCACTAACAGTGATTGGACAACCCGAACTTACCCACCACTTCATTTCTTCAATAATGTAGGTGTGTCTAAGTTGTTTCTAGGCTTCACACCGTTGCCGTTACCCCAGACTTCTCTTGATCTGGCGGTCTACTCTACGGCCGAAAGCTACCGGACTTTAATATTACTTTACTTAAGTGACATTTTGTGTGATAACTTATTATATTACATTGATATTTGCCTTTTCGCATTTAAATATTTAGTGGTCGGCCTCATTGGCCTTATGACTGTATCAAGTAGTTTAGTTAAATGCTTTCTGACCTGAAGAATGTAGTTGTTTCAACTTCAATCCGCATTTGCCTTTCAGATTCAGATTACTGGTTCTAGTAACTTCTCCAGGTGAAAAAAGCCTTAGTTTTAGTGTGTAATTTCATTGATTATTAAGTCATACCTAGAATTTATTTCAAAGTCCATGTCGTAGCAGTTTTTCAGCCTTTACGGCTCTCTGCTTTTATTATTGAAGCGAGCAGCATTTGCCATATTCTGCTGCACGGGTGTCCCTATTTCAGGGTACTGTTCTGGGAAAGCCAAATATTTAAGTTTTTTATATGCATCTAACTGGTAAGTATTTCAGAAATGATTAGACCAAAAAAATTGAAATAGAAACTTACGATACACCCTGTATACAAAATCGTTTAGATGTATTATGTGTGCAAGAATTTATTTATTTAAAAATATTGTTTCGTCTTACTCATTTTCGTAGAAGCTCTAAGAAATAGTTTGGCTAGCACATAATTTAAATCGACTATTCAACTTTTTAAACACCCTGTATCTCAGAAACTAATCATAGGATTTATTTGTGCCCATGGACACATTTGATCAGGACCTCAAGAAGAACAACATACCAAATTTTCATCAAATTTGACCGGGCACCAAAATCCCATAAGATGTGTGCGGGGTCCTTTTATAAAATTTTCGTTTTTCAATTGCTAAAAAATTTAAATTTTAGCATAATTCTAGTACAATTTCGAAAATCGAATCTAGCATGTTTCCTTTTCCTATTTGGTTACCGTTACATGGTGCGCTAATCCTTTAGGATTTGTAAAATTATATCTCGCATCGCGTTTCCTATCAGGCCAGCGCACATAGTCTATCGCTACATGGAGCGCTAATCATATAGGACTTGTAAAATTATATCTGACGTCGCGTTTCCTATTAGACCAGCGCACATAAATTAAATAACTAAGCTCATTTTACCAACCATGCTGTTACGTGACTTTTGGCATTGGGTTGGTTTTTAATAATAATTAATAAAAGAACTTGCAGAGATTAACTATTTTTATAGCAGCCAAATTCATTTCAACAGTACTTAATTAAAAAAAACTTTTTCATACTTGCAGACAAGCACTTGCCGCGGTAGAAAATATACTTTAGTAATAATAAGTGTTTCTACTGTAACAGGGAATAGTATATTATATACGTAGGTAGAGAAGTTGGTCATTATATACTGAAAGCTTGAGATATATAATGACTTTCTCTACCGAGGAATATATAGAATTTTTTTTACTACTGCTAGTAAAAAATAAAAAAATTTGTTTAAAATCTGTGTTCTAATTATTTTTTGTGAACGCCCTCTTGAAAGTGCTGCCCTCTATCAACAGCTTATATAACTTCCTATGTACCTACAGAAACCTGTATTTTTTTTCAAATTGACGTATGAAATTGAAATTGAACCAATAGAAACATGACAATATCCTTGCGTCATGACGTCATTTTCATTATTGACCTAGGTATTTTTTCATTATTTTCATTATTAACCTAGGGAGAGAAATTCAATTTTTACTTAGAAAAATAGATTGAATAATGTCTATTTCTCAGGTTAGTAGTAAAAAAAAATATTAGTGGCAGCAAAGAACTTTACTGTTACACAACCAAAATTTATGCTGTGATAGCCGAAAATCCATTGGTAATGGATTTCTCAGTGTAGAATCAATAGAGATTATAAAACGAGACACAACGAGAAATATTACAAAATTATTGCACCACCTGTAACCACCAATTAACCTCGAAAAATGACAACCATAATGAAATGGATTGCAATGCAATGGATGTCTGCAGACGATCGCGGAGGATGTGCGCTGGTCTTATAGGAAACGCGATGTCAGAGTCGTCAGATATAATTTAACAAATCCTATATGATTAGCGCTCTACGTAGAGGTAGACAATGTGCGCTGGCCTAATAGAAAACGCGATGCCAAATATAATTTTACAAGTCCTAAAGGATTAGCGCTCCATGTAGCGGTAACCAAATAGGAAACGAAAAAATGCCCAGCGGCACTAATGGCCGTTTCCACCAACTATTTTAGGGAAGCCCTAACGATAAGTATTCCCTAAACTGACATTTCTTCATGGAAAACTGTCAGTTTAGGGAATACTTATCGTTGAGGCTTCCCTAGAATAGTTGGTGGAAACGGCCATAAAAGTACTTCATGGAACTAATAAACTCTACAAACATTTAACAAAACTATTTCAAACATGTGAAACATGCATAGATAAACATAAACATGAAGTACCGGAAGTGTGGAAAATAAGCTATTTGAAAACGATCGATATACAGAGGGTGGTCCATTCAACTTGAGACAGTCTAATATCTCGAAAACTGTGCGTTTTTGAAAAAAAAAAGTTCAAACAAAAATTACATGGTATTATGGGGGAAACAAAATGGCGGCACTGATTTTTGACATTGACAACGTTTTCAAGGTTATTTCAAGGTTGACTCTTTTTTTTCCAATGGAAACGTATTTTTTTTATTACAGAATCTTATTCTACGGAAAAAAACAAGTAACTTTTACTTTAAGCATTTTTCGATCCGGTTTCAATTTAAGCTGATAAAAAAGAACGAATCGATTTTTTTTTTCCTCCTCAAAAAATCTAAAAGTAGAGAAAGGTTACCATAGTAAAAAACTACCTCAAAAACTATAACAATTGTTCAAAGCGATGTCCGCCAACTTCAACACACTTGTCAATTCGCTGTAAAAATATTTCATAGCACCAAATTAGAGTTTCTTTTCTGAAAGCTCTAAGCATTTCTTATGCGTTCCATCCTATCTCTGGTGTTGTGGGAACTTCTTGATAAACTGTCTGTTTGATTTTTAATGTGAATTGACAAGTGTGTTGAAGTTGGCGGTCATCATTTTGAACAATTGTTATAGTTTTTGAGATATTTTTTTAATATGGTAACCTCTCTCTACTTTTCGATTTTTTGAGGAGGAAAAAAAAATCAAGGATTCGTTCTTTTTTATCAGCTTAAATTGAAATCGGATCGAAAAGTTATTCAAGTAAAAATTACTTGTTTTTTTTCCGTAGAATGAGATTCTATAATAAAAAAAATACGTTTCCACTGGGAAAAAAAAATGACCTTGAAATAACCTAGAAAACGTTGTAAATGTCAAAAATCAGTGCCGCCATTTTGTTTCCCCCATGATACCATGTAACTTTTGTTCAAACTTTTTTTTTCAAAAATGCACCGTTTTCGAGATATTAGACTGTCTCAAGTTAAATGGACCAACCTGTATATTCTTTATTCTGACCTCCACTCATGCACCAACCACATATATAATTTTGAATTTCTTTGGAAAATAGTTTTTAAACTTCTTTATTATTATAGATAAAGTAGGTGTACATTTTTGTTATTGGATTAAGTAATCCATAATTCAAATATTGAACCTTTTTATTATCAATTTTTACTTCATTTTCGAAAACATAGCATTATTAACCCTAGACGCTGGAGGTCTCTCAAGATAATCTGATATGAACCTGCCAGCTTCTATAAGTTTATTTAAATCTACTCCAGTTTCAGCGCCTAGTCCGTGCAACATGTAAACCAAATCTCCTGTAGCTACATTGCCAGTGGCTCCCTTTGCATATGGGCAACCTCCAAGACCTGTTACTGAAGAGTCTACTACTGTTAAACCTTTTTCCAGAGCTGTATAAACGTTCACTAAAGCTTGCCCATATGTGTCATGACAATGAATAGCTAACTTGTCAGGTGAAGCAATGATTAAAACTTCATCAAGCATTTTTTCCACAGAAATTCTTGTGCCTACTCCTATAGTGTCTCCTAAAGATATTTCATAGCAACCATAGCTAAGCAATGCTTCAGCTACTTTAACAACTGAAGCTGGTTTTATGTACCCATCATAAGGACAACCGACAGTGCAGGAAATGTAGCCCCGTATTTTTAAATTGCTCTCTTTAGCTTTGGTGATGACAGTTTTTACTGTCACTATACTTTCGTCAATTGTGCAGTTGATGTTCTTTCTCGATAATCCTTCAGATGCTGATAAAAACACTGCAATTTCCTTGGCACCAACTTTTATCTAAAAATTTAAATTAAGTTACAAACTATCAAACCAAAAAAAGGTTTAAAAAGAACTTACAGCTTCTTCTAAACCTTTTAAATTGGGAACTAAAACAGGATAAGAAATGAGTTTTTTTTTAATAATTTCTTGAAACACTCTTGTATTGTCTGCCATTTGTGGGACCCATTTTGGACTTACAAAACTGAAATTTCAAAGCTGATGGGCTAGTTTTGAAGGAAATGTTTTATGTTTTCTACCTTGTAACTTCAATTGACTTCAATCCAGTTTCTGATAGCCGGTTGATGAGTCCAACTTTGACTGCAGTAGGAATATTGGTTGGTATATTTTGGAGACCATCACGAGCGCCAACTTCTACAATTCTCACAAAAGACTTATTCTGAAATCAAGAATTAAATAATTTTAAGAAATCGCATCTTGATGAAATTTAAAGGAGAAACACACAAATTTATAAAAAGGCTTTTTTTTGTGTTACAGAGGTGACCCAAGAAATTTGAAACTATGATAGATGGTCCCAAGTAGCACAAATGTGCTTATTACGATCATATACATTGCTATAAAACATCTTGCTATATAAGTGTGATATTTCTTAGTTGGGTTGTAAACGCTTATATGATGCCTATAAGTATGAAAAAGGCCCAGGTTTATAAAATATTATTGTTGTTTTAAAGTTGTTTTAGGATCGCAAATATCATTTACAAAATAATCTGAAGTCCTTCATAAAATCGTCATGAAATAGTTTCATAAGAGGTTTATACGTTAGGAGACAAATTCACCTATATAGCAATTGTGTCTTTTGTGAACCTTAGTATAAAACAGCTTTATAAATATTATTTCGAAATTTTGTAGCTGTAGTTGAAATTACTAATAAAACATTTATAAAATAATGTTTTATACCATACTTAAAACAGTATTCTAATAATAGCATTTTTGTAGTGAATAAAATAATTTTACTGTGACTGTCTACGTTTCGGTTTCATAATCATCATGAATAAAAATATTTTATCATATTTTCATAATGCCGAATACAAAACTGATTTTTAAATGGTTGTCCAACCTTCTCTGCTTTTATGGATAACAAATATAGCGACATGTTGCTAGGGATGCATAGGTAAATCAGGAAAAATATATAGCCTACCTAAATAACGTTCGACCACTAAATTTTACTGCGAAGCAAATTTTACTGATCAATTGGGGGTTATTTTTTGGAGATATTTTAACGCGCTTCAATTTTAACAAGGTTTTACAGTTACAGAAAATATTTAAGTTTCACGAAAGTCTCCAATAATCATCCGTGAAGTTGAAAATTGACATAATGTCATGTCCTATGTCATTGTGAACTTATTTGATTCTCATAACAACGATAATTTTCAAAATTGTATTATTTTATTTGATTTATTTTGGATACGACAAAATGGCCGACATAAGACTAAGTGAAATTAAACGTGAAAACATGGCGACGACTAATAAATCATTTTTATCGCCAAGAAAATGTTTAATAAACAGATTTATTATTTATAAAACATATTTGATTTATAACGTGTTATACAGGGTGTCCCACGAGCTTTTTCCCAAATGATAACTTCGGAACGCATCATCGTGTGTTCCACTGTAAATTTTTTTATCATTCTTTGACAAAGCCTTAATAAATATGGTATTGCCGATTTTGTAATTTAATTTTCTAACGAAAAATGCCATAATATACCATGAGTTACATTTAAGATTCGGAAGTTGACGTCACTTGATCGAAATTGAAGCGAAAGTAGTGAAATTGGATGACTATGGTAGAAGCGGCACAAAGAGTTACTCAGATCCTCAAAATTTCAATTATATTGGATGACGCGTTCCGAAGTTATTACCTGGGAAAAACGTCGTGGGACACCCTGTATAATGCAGTTCCATAAAACATCATGTATTTTATTATCTAAAATGACATAGCGAAAAACTATTATAATATTCCAGTCAATGCAATGTTGCCATGTCAAGAACAAATGTGTACCTTCATATATTTTCAATTTTGTACGGATGAAAATCAAAAGTTACTAGTAACTTTCGAACTTCATTTATAAAAAATCATACTTATCAAAAACTCGTGGCTGAGAAAATTGAATTAAAAAAGTTGGAATTCAAAATTGACAGAAAATAGTCATACTAAGCGTTTTTGGCCACACCGTAACAATTCCAACAAGTTTTTCCTTTGCATTTTAATTTTTAGTTGACTGTGGTTTACCAGCAGGGTTAGAGTACCTACCTAATATAGACAGTAACTTGTAACGTCGCATCACCTGTTCTGAATCATGTATATTTTTTTTCAGATCATGGTGCTAGGTGGCGTGGGTGTCGGTATATCTGAAGTAATTGCGATAATAATAAAACCCTTATAAAATATTATTGTTATATAGCCTTCAGAAAAATTGCTTAAATAACAAAATTATTATAAAGCTTATCGGACTGTATCAATTTTACGATACTTTTATCGTAGAATACATTTATAGTCAAATTAGAAATTGGACACCTTATTGTTACTATTCCATGTTATGCTACGTTATTATAACCTTAAAGTCCTTAACACAGATGTTGCTTAAATGACACCAAATCAGATCTTTCGAAATTAGCCTGTACCTCTTTCCTGAAATTGCCACTTCTTTTTAATATTATCCAGCAAGAAATGCTTGACATAATTAGCAATAGGTATACCAATTATCACTGGAATTAAAACTAGAAATGTCAAGATTTTTCTGCAACGTAGGTAGATAAACTAAATTTTAGGTTAGTGATATAACATTTTTATAAGGTTACCTTAATAATAATTTTGTATTTTGTGAGACACTTCTGTTATTTAACCCGTTTTTAAGTGCTTTATTCAATTTTATTCAACGACAATTATAAAATAGTTTTATAAGAGTATTGAACGAAACTAAATTATTGCTAAGAATGAATTGTTTTATAAATTATTCTCCATATATACTATAAAATCTAATGATAAAGCCGTAATAAATCAAAATACATACTTTTATAAGTGATATATATCTGTTTGTGAATATTGCTATAAAGCAACTACAAAATATATCTATCTCAAACAAAAACAGTTTTATAAGTCTTGTCATATAAATATTTATGAGCAAATACTTATAAAATTGTTATTTAAATTAATCTTAAAAATATCTATATAGCAAAATAACAAAATAAATTTGTTTTCATGATACATTTGTATTGAGTCTTAAAAATCAATTTTGTTACATACTTCAAATGCTCTAACAAATCGTATATAAAGCACTTCAATTAAAATAAAACTTACTCGAATCCACTGTTTGGCAGAGGCCAAGCTTTTGCTGAGCAATTTTCTAGGCAAATTCATTGAAATGAGCAGTGCTTTAAGTCAAGACAAAATTATCTCAGAAAAGCTTTTTTGGACGACAACAAGACTGTTTATTAGCTTTGTGTCAATGGTAGAGCAAGTGCAACACTGGTGCAATATTCGTGATCCATTGGCAGAGTCCGCGCTGCACTTCTGTATTTCATTGGGAAAGCAATGCACTAGAGTGTTGCACTGAGTGCTGTTGGTGCGCCACCGTTTTAAAAGCTCGTGTCGCACTCAGTCATAGAAAAGTGATTTATAAATTCTTAAATAGAAAACAAAAATCTTTATCCCGGGCATAAACAACGCAAAAGAAAACGGAATGAAAAAACAAGAAGGCAATATTGTGCCTGAGAAATACAACCTAAAATCTCTAGAAGAGCAAAGCGTAAAGGGGTTGTACATGAAGAGATTGGATCAAAAATTACAGGGTAGTATGAACTTCCAAAACAGTGAAATGCATTACCCAAAGAGAGTATTCACAGTGCAGCATTTGAAGCCCTAGGCAACGAAAAAAATGGAAGAAGGCCCTCACCTTATTGGTGGGATCAAGAAAATAGAGAAAGACATAGTTCAAATAAGACACAAGACAAAGAAATATATAAAAAAACACAAGCCAGAGTAGGTACGGAATAAAATAGCACAGAAAAAAAACGAGTCATGGGAAAGAAACTGTGCGCATATTAATACATATCTGGGAGGCAGAAGAAACACAGAAAGTTGGAGATTACTAAAAAATATGAGAAAAACAAAAACCAAGGATATTATCACACACGAAACATAAAAACTGCAGGATCACCAATAGGAGTTATGCAAGAAGAAGTTAAAAAACACTGTAGCTTTTTGAAAAACGGTAGGACACCAGGCCCAGGAGAAATATATGGAGAACTGATAAATTATGGGACCAATAAACTCTACAAACATTTAACAAAACTATTTCAAACATGCATAGATAAACATGAAGTACCGGAAGAGTGGAGACAGAAACAAATGCGAGAACCACTGAGGAATAGCAGAGTGTATGTAAAACTTATAAAAGCCAGAATAGAAAACGAGTACAAAGATAGTGAGATTGAGGCAGAAGAACAGGCCGGTTTTAGAGCAGGAAGATCAACTGTAGACCATTTATTTAGTTTACAATACAATACAATACAATATCTTTATTTTTCCAAGAGACACATAGTGTATGGACATCGTCGAGAATAAAATCAATATAAAACACAAATATTGCCAATACTAAACAGTAAAAAATACAAGTTAAAAAATATAATTTAAAAATATCGGTTAAAAATAGACAAAAGTAAAAGGTAAAAAACAAAACAATAAAACACTTACAACCACGTTCAAGAAACACCGTTCAAAAAAGTGACTATACTGTAAAAGCAGTTAACCATTAAAAACGACTTTAGATTTTTTTTGAAAATATTTATGTTTTCAGCCATTTTTAGATTAAACGGAAGTCTGTTGTTCTCATTTCTAGTGTTGTAGCTGTGAAAGTGATTATTTCTAGGAATAAAATCCTGATTTTGGTACACGTATATGCAGTATTAATAAATTATTACTATTGAGGGTAAGGTTAATAACTTATACCTGAGAAAATATGGCCTGCAAGACGCTGTTTGGGGAATTCCCGCTAGACAACGTATTACTCGCTTCTGATACAAAAATACCTTTTGGGCATGAGACGAGGTACCCCAGAACTGAGCGCCATACATCAGCCGTGATTGAACAAGAGCATGGTAAGCCCCTATATGATCTGATTTCCTGTCAAAATTTGTTTGAGGTTTTTAATAGCATAGCAGCAACTACTTAACTTTATACAAAGTGCAGTACAATGCTCTTCCCATGAAAGGACATCGTCAAGCACAAGACCCAAAAACTTGATAGAATTTTCTTGTTTTAATTCTTTTCCATCATACTCCAGCCTAACTTGCAGATTCTCCTTTGCCTGAATTGTATGAAATAGGTACCATATGATGGGTTTTCTGGAAATTTAGTACCATTTTATTAACACTAAACCAGTCAGCTAATTCTTGTAAGGCTTTATCAGCCGCAGACCCAATAGAAATTTCCTGCTTAAGTTTAACTATACCTGAATTATCGCCCGCAAATGCAGTAATGCTGCTGTATACAGTGTCAAGTAGAAGAGGATTAACAAAAATCACGAAAAGCACAGGACCGAGAATAGATCCCTGGGGCACCCCCAATTCGACTTTTCGAAAATCTGAACGCTGAGTCCTCCCTGATCCATCCCCAATCTGTACAACTTGTTGTCGGTCTCGCAAAAATGAACTAAACCATTCAAGCATCACCCCCTTCAAACACACAGTCGAACGCCCTGCTGAGATCACAGAAAGTCCCAACAGGACACTCTCCCCAGTGGCGTACCCACGGGGGGGGATAAGGGGGATATATCCCCCCCCAGAAGGTCTCGCAAACTCAAACGCTACATCAAAAGGCTAATAAAAATTATGTAGGCTATGTTGGAAAAACACAGAACATAAACAGCAAAAAATTGAAAATAAATAAAAATTCAATTTATTCTATAAACCGCCACCGTAAACGGCGCGTGCTGATTGGTGCGCTTCATTTGAAAACGTTCTAGAATCAAGAAGAACGACGAGTTGGCGGCAGTGTGGTTATGAGATACATGCCGGTCTGGTAGCATTGATCAACACCCCCGCTTTTGGTGCGAAAATCCAAAGAAAATTCAGTTTAAATGCATACAATATTTCTCATTCAAGTCATAGTCTCATGGTAGATGATTGATTAAGTATAAATTTACGTAAATTACACAATTACAGTATGTGCCGAGGCGGCGGCCGACTGGGCGAAACCGCTGTGTGTGTTTTAACCCTAACTCTGGACTAGTTGCTGGAAATCTAACCTCCGCTCTTCGTTGCCACTAATGCCACTTTGCTATTGCGATTCGCGACGAAACGCAGTGCGCACCGCGGCGCGCAGAGCAGTTTTGTATCTACATGACGCAAAAGGTTGTGAATTGTTTATGTTTTAATTTAATGTATGGTTTTTAAATTTTTTGCTATAAAAATACTCAACCAAAACCTAGTTAAGTATGAGTAAACAAACATCTTTGGCATTTTTTTTGAAGAGAAGGAGAACTGATGCAAGCGATAGCGAACCATCTAGCTCATCGTCCCTGAATGCAACAGCTGAAACTTCCGCAAGTAAAAATCAATCTGTATATCCCAATGATATTGGAAACTTTATAAACAAAAATCAAACCACAGATACATTAGATGTTATTAATTCACTCTGGGTTCCACCACATACATACCTACATGTTTCCTTTACTTGACAAGTATAATGCCAAGAAAGTGAAACTTCGGTTTCAGCATAAGTGGCTTACAGAGTTTAGTTGGCTAGTCTACTCAGCTAAAGAAAAAGGGGCATTCTGCAAATTTTGTGTATTCTTTGCAACAACAGGAGGAGTTAATAGTCAGACATTAGGTGCTTTGGTTAAAACCAAAATGGATAATTGGAAAAAGGCAAAAGAAGTAAGTACCTACCTATATTTATTTAATTTCATCTTATGCCTTGCGCTAAAGTTTACTTTACCGACCACAAAACGCATTTATCCCTTTTATAAAAAAAGTTATTTTTGATGTGAAACATCTATTGGCGGATTGGCGCGCCATATTGGCAGTAAAATCAACCTGTTTGCCGTTACTGCGCATGCACGGCGTGGATTCCGTGTCGGCCAACTTTTTTTCATATTTTTCCATTTCAACTGAAAGAATTTAATTTAAAATAAATTAAGTACATTAGCAAATTTGAAATTTCTTACAATTTTATAGTATTTTTTTTTAATACTTTTTGAAATTAGGTATAGGCGCTCGTAGGAAAAATGTTGTACCTATTACGTGACACGTGCAAAAAGCGTCTTTTCTCCATTGACGGCTGCTTCACGTCGATCGTGCAGTTGCCATCGCGTGCTGAAAAGTATCACTTCCGCAAGTTCCGCACATGTTAAGAAAATAATTTTTTTAGATATTTAATTCACACCAAAGCACTCAATTTCATAAGGAATCCATTAATGCTTACGGAAATCTGGTAAAAATTCAAGAGGGCGGTCAGGAGAAGGTAATAGACTTGATAGATGAAAACAGAAAAAAACAAGTGGCAGAAAATAGAGCTAGAATTAAACCAATTATAGAAGCAATATTATTATGTGGTAGGGAGGAAATGTCACTTCGAGGACATCGAGATTCCGGAGAATTGAAAATAGATGATAGTTGCGTAAGAGAAGGAAAGTTTCGTGCAGTTTTAAAATATAGAGCTAAAGGGGACGCAGCATTAAGAGAAACACTTGAAAAATCAAGTAAAAGAGAAACCTATATTAGCCCAAAAATTCAAAATGAAATTATTAGCAATATAAATACTATAATGCTGAATAAAATGGTATCAAAAATTAATAAAGCAGGGGCGTTTTCTGTTCTAGTAGACGAAACCACCGATATATCGACAACTGAACAAGTAACGATATGTGTAAGATATGTCAATGAAAATAAAATCCACGAGGATTTCTTACAATTTGTTCCAGCAGAAAGTTTAACTGGTGAAAGTTTGTCTAATCTAATTATAAATAGTCTAGAAAAATTTGGATTAGATCTTGACAATCTTGTCGGGCAAGGTTACGATGGAGCAAGCAATATGTCGGGGCAATTTAATGGCGTACAGGCGGTTATTCGTCGTAACTACCCGAAGGCTATATATGTGCACTGTGCTGCCCACTCTTTGAATTTGGCAATTTCAAAATCTTGCGAGATACAGCAAATTAGAAACTGTCTAAATACCATAGAAAAATTATATGATTTCTTCAATACTCCAAAGAGACAGAATATCCTTTTAAAAAAGATTGATGAGTCTGATAATAATCCTTCCAGTAAAACTCTTAAACGATTATGTGCAACACGCTGGACGTCTAAGTATGAAGCAGTACAAGATTATTTGGTTACGTCGCCGAAAGCTTAGAAGAAATCTCGGGCTGGAAAGAGTCTGGAGATGCAAATATGTTGCGAAACAGTCTAAATGATTCCGATTTTCTGGTAGCTCTCCAGATCATAAATCAAATATTTAGTTTTGCCTTACCTCTTTGTCGTTTCCTTCAAAAATCTGATACTGACTTAGGAGAAGCCATTGCTATGACGGAAAATACAATTTCTTGCTTAAAAGTTATACGTCAAGATGTTACGAAACAGTTTGAAACGATTTTCAATAAAGCTCAGGTAAAAATTTAAATATAAAACGTGTGTGTATCATTTTTTTAAAAAAAATTCAAAATTTTAGGATATTGCTTCAAGTATTGACACCAACATTCAGATGAAAAGAGTCATTTCACGCCAAAAAAATCGAGCAAATCCTGTCATACAAAATTCAGAAACACCAGTAGTTGACTATTTTAGGATTGCCATTTATATACCATTCATCGATCATTTCATTAGTCAGCTAGAGGAAAGATTTGCTAACCATAAACAAATTTTCAAAGGTTTTATGTGTTTGCTGACGGGAGAAAAATCAGAATCTGATTGCAATGCCTATGACGAACTTTTAGATTTGTATATTCCTGATGTGCCTAAAGTAATTTCAAAAACAGAAATTAAATTATGGCACAATTATCTGAATAGCTATCCCGATGTAAAAAGTAAGCGTCAAGCTTTAGCACATTTGGAATTATGCAACCAACAAGCTTACCCTAACGTGTACAGACTGTTGTTGATATTCTGTACAATACCAGTTTCCACAGCCACACCAGAGAGGTCATTCTCAACATTAAAAAGGATAAGAACCTATCTTCGAAATTCTACTTCCCAAAACAGACTTAATGGTCTAGCAATGATGTCTGTTCATAGAGAATTATCTGTTTCCGAAGATGAAATAATCGATGAGATGGCAAAAAAACCTAGGCGACTAGATTTTATTTTATTTTATAAAATATCCAAATTTGCTCAGTGGCGTATTTATTTTCAGTTTTTTGACTTCGAAGTGCATTTAAACATATATTTGTAACATTGTAACATGGATGTTAATATATGAACACTATTATGTATTTGTTATTTTGTATCGAAATAGTGGGAAAGAAATCATGATCGCTTGTTATGAAGGGTTCTGGGGTGTCGCCTCCTCACTCCTGCAATAAATGAAAAACAGCAACATTTTTGTTTTTCTCAAGATTCCGAAAATGGTTTTTATACAAAAACCAATAAAACGCTATTCGGGCAAGTTTGCAAGTTTCATCGAATGGAATGAGTATTTAAAGTTTTTCGATATTTCTACGGTTTATTTTTTTGAAAGCTCAAAATAATTGTTTTTGGGCGTGGCACCCGAAAAAAATTTCGCGCCTCCGGCGGGCTTTCGCCTCCTCCTGGATTACTCTCTGGCAATACACATGGACCGTGGTTCTGGGCTAGACCCCCCCCAGAGGTAAATCGTAAAGACGCCACTATTTGCTGTACAAACCTATATTTTTTAATTTTGTTAATTTTTATCCCCCCCCAGAGCCAATGCCTGGGTACGCCACTGACTCTCCCGCTTCCAGCCCCTCCACGATCTCCGATAAAAACGAAAGAATGGCCGTGGTGGTAGACCTCCCCGCCAAAAACCCATGCTGTGCAGGAGAAAGCACGCTATTTCTAGTCAGAAAATCGAGAAGCCTATCCAACACAGCATACTCAAATAGTTTAGAGGAGCAAGAGGTAAGTGCTATGGGGCGGTAGTTTTCCACCAAACTCGGGTCCCCCTTTTTAAATATTGGATTTATTTTAAGATAAGTTTTTAAACAACACGGGAAAACTCCCGTTTGAAGAGAATGATTTACAAGATATGTTAATGGTCGCAAACATGATTCATTCATTACTTGCTTAAATATATGGGTTGGGATTTCATCCGGCCCTGATGATTTTTTATTTTTGATGTTAAAATTTGAAGTATTTCTTGCTCGTTAAAGGAAGTGAAGGTCATTTCAGTCTGTAAAGTATTCTCATCTGCCAGCAGATACCCAAGTAATGGAAAAGGAAACTAGTTGTGGGACTAAAATATCAACAAAACTAACAAAAGTAGAATATACAACACCATAGTCAAAAGCATAGTCACCTATAGTAAAGCTCCAGAAGTCTGGCCACTAAAGAACAGAACCGCAAAAATGCTGGAAGCCACTGAAATGGACTTTTGGAGGAGATCGGCAGGCAGGTCAAAAATGGAAAGCATAACAAATCTAAGAATCGGGGAGATTATGGACGTAAAACACACAATAGTAGATGATATAAAGGACAAACAACTGATTTGGTTCGGACATGTACAAAGAATACCCAAGCAAATTATTGAGTGGAAGCCAGGGGGAAGAAGAAAACCCGGCAGACCAAGAAGAAGCTGGAGACTGTGGAGAAGTGGAGTAGACGAAGAAATAAGAGACAGATGAGGCTTAGAGGAGGATGCCTGGATTGACAGAGATGGTTGGAGATCAGGAATCAGAAGACGTAAAACGTTATAAACCGATAATTATATAAATAGAACATTCTTTGGATTCATCCCCTCCACTTTTAGTTTTAGTTCGTGACTACACCGCTGTGCGCCTAAATCGCCGTTTTGCAACGTTCATTATTAAATATAATGAATGCATAAATGTCATATTGTCATCTGAACTAATTTATTGAGTGCATCGTCGTTGAGTGTTGAGTTAGTTGTTTTGAATTGTAAGACTGTGAGAGAAGTTATAAGTGCATCACAAGCAGCAATCTACATTCGTTTTTGTTGGTAATTTTTTGTTTCATCTGATTCGTGATTGACAAATAAGGATAGGGTTATTCTAAATGGGTATTAAAAGTTATTTCTGGTATGTAGTGCGCGAAATGCTACTTTGGTGATCGAGAACTGTTTTTTTTTTAACAAGAATAACGAGTTAAAAAAAATAGTCGAGACCACCATAGTATTTCGCGCACGAGTTGCAATCAATATTTTTTCTACAACTCCATTTAAATATCGATCATTCGAAGCTAAAATTGCATTCACAATCAATGAACTATAGCCAAAAACTGGAATGCGCACACATTGCCATATCTGCCCAAAAAATGAAGCCATGAAAGACAGATGCCACAAAGGGGAATGTTGTTTTTTTTCTGTTGCTCGCTGACATATGACGTTCTGGAGAGTTTTGTCATATTTACCCTCACAGGTTTCATCAATACACCTATCTATTTTTACCTGGTATGCGCGTGCAACAGGAGGCAATGTCTTTTTATTGGCTAGCTAATACAGGTGTGAGGTGATCGTTTTGCACGCTGGGCATCTCTTTATCCTTGTTCATTGCATGTAGTCTGACAAGAATAAATCTAAAGTTGATATTCAACTTGACAAGTGTCATTCAAAAGTTGTTTGACATTTTCATTGACAAATACGTTGCACAACACGCGGTTTTTCTCCTTTCCTTTTTATCCTGTACAAATAAGAAGGACGGATTGCTATACGTAAGTCTAACATAATTTGGTATGTTTTGCCTCGTCTTGCGCAATGAGCGTTCTGTGTCTTTTTTTATTTAATGAAGTTTTCGTATTATGTACCTCTTTGTCTGGTAAAATAGATAGGTCTATTGGAAAACGTGTTGGAAGCAATTTCCGCCATTTAACATAATGAGTGCGACAAAAACAGGTATCATCCCCTCCGCAGCAGCTGTATAGTCTGGCTAGCGAAACGGCGAACTGCAAAAGAATTTGCTACTTTGCCAAACTTGACGGAAATAATGATAAACATGTTGATGACATATTTTTTTTTGCTATATGGGCATGTGTAGTATTTCGAAATAGAAAAAAATCCGGCAACATTGCGAAATGATGGATCTGGAGAGGCGTGATTATTCAGAGGTATGATTCTATTGGTTAGAGTTTGAACGACAGCACGCAGTGGCGCGGTTATTGGCGAAACTAAAGAATTTTTTTCTAATAATTTTATTGGTTTATTTCCTTGGTGTTTTCGGTGCCACTGAACCGAAAGACATGGCTGTCATCAGGTGATGTCAGTTAAGGTGTCAGTGAATATTTTTAGGTCACGCCCCACTTTTCTTCCCCCTTTCGGCTCTACCAAGTTACCACTTGCCAGACTATACTAGGCTTCACGTTCATCAATATGTGTACGCATTCCAGTTTTTGGTTATAGTTCATTGTTCACAATCAAAAGCCTAGTACTCATAACCGCTAATTGCTTATTTTTATTGTGCGGATTTTTTTCTATTGGTCGATTAGGTATATTTAAATTTAACAGGTTTAAATATATTCGACCAATAGAAAAAAATCCGCAAAATATAAATCCGCAATTCGCGGTTATGAGTAATGCTCAAGGCAGGTGAATTTTAATTATTTTTGGTTTCCTGTCAGGTGTCAGGTATTTGTTACCTGAGTGTGCGAACTAGGCATTTCGCACGAGTTGAAAAATTTCTGGATCATCTTGCAACTTGTATTTTCTATTGAACATTGAACACATCAAGGCAGAACTGCAAATAAAGATTAATTATTTTTATACTTGCAAAGAATTTCATGATTTTGTAAGAGGTAACAGGTCTGTTCTCACAAGAGTCTCTGACAGTTTGAAAAATGTCAGTAAGAGTAGCATAAGTATACCCTAAGCGGTCTCCGCATGCGCAGTAGACATTTACTCTGACCTTGAAAGTGACGCCAGTGACGTCATTCGACCTTGGCCTTGAAAGTTAGCTATTTAAAAAAAAAAAAAAAAAAAAAAACCTCCCCCCCCCCCTTTACCCCTCCCCCCCCCGCCACCCCTCCCCGTGACATCATTTGACCTTGGCCTTGAAAATTAGTTGTCACTCTTTGACTAAAAAATTATCCCACCCCTCCCCATTGAAGGTCATCTTTTACTCGCCCTTGTATTTCATTTGACCTTGCTCTTATAAGCTGTAAGTTAAAAAACCTTGAGAGACATGTGATTCAATACACTAGTTGGGAAAGGAGGGGAGTTTTGTGAAGATTTTCTTATAAAAGAAGCTTCATACCATGTAGTAAGTCACATATCAATTATAGCAACCAGTCATCCCATCCTAAGATTATAAAGAAAATATTGTGTTTATAGAAACCAGTCGTCGCATCCTAAGATTATAAAGAAAATTCTGTGTGTAGTGTTGTGTTTTCATAATTCAATTCGTTCAAGGTAATTTTTTTCAAGTATCTCTATTGCATATTATTATTCTCAATAATGAGTATTTCAAAACAAACCATAGATGAAATCAATAATAAACTTAACCAAGATATTGAATTTGTTGAGCGAAGGTCCATAACATCTTTAACAATTGGAAAAGTTTACATTATTAAAAAAATGGTATTACTATCTTCACGTTTCGGTAAAACTATTTTAGCTACATTATATGACAAAACACATGATGAAACCTTTCAATCATTTCTACCGAAACGTGTCACAGAAACTCTTGCAGAGGATACTATAGCGAGCATGAATAAGTTATGTGATAAATATAGTTTAACTTATTTGGGTCAAAGCTTGCGAGTATTTTCTGGGGGAAATACAAGAGCAATTTTAAACTTTGGTGTTTTGGAATAACTGTAAATTCAAATTCAGAGTTT